TTTTTATCCGTATTTACCTTTATTATGTACCTATAAAAAAAAATGTTTTCAAAAGTTTTATTTTGGACATTGATCCATATGGGTTAGGAATACAAAGGATCTAATACTATAATTATGCTATAATTATAACTAAAGAAATCATGTTATTAATAATATTCGAGTACAACATGGCACAGCACTAACTCTGATTCAGGGAAAAGCTGAAGTGTGAGGCGCAGGGCACGTTCTGTGTCGCCCCGGCCGCGCGCCTTTCGCTACATCCTTTAACACCGTAGGGTGTTAGTTTTGTTAAATTCTGTGTTTTCTTATCGACATAGTATTACATACCCAGGTTGTAATAACTGTCGATACGCATTATGGATGAAAAGTTGGATATTATAATAAAGATAGGACTTAATTTATAACTACTGTAATTACCTATCATTTAACAAATAAACTTAATATTTAAAAAAATTTAAAAACCAGAGATAGTATTATCTCTTGCTGTTTTTAAAATTGATTAATTTTGTATACTTATACATATATAACATATATATTTTTGTTGGTTCGCTTTTTCATTAAGAACATTTTCTGTATCAGTATAGAGAGTTAAAGCAAAACATCGCTCTTAAGAGCTAAGTATTCACTACAACTGTAAGTTCTGTTTCTTCAACGGCAATTCTTTTTAAACCATCCGTTCTTCTTTATGTATCAAAGATTTTTCTTGCCGATTTTGAATAATTTTTTCAACCCAGCAACTTAAAAAAAAGATTTTCAGCTTGGAGCTTTTTAATATACTTTTCTGATAATATAAATGTTGATGCATTTTTTCTTGTGTTAAGTGCAATGGTGGAAATTAAGTTATAATTTTCAGACGTTTTTGGAGCCTTAAAAACAAATAATCTGTTTCTCAGGCTCAGTCAAAGGATATATTATGCTGTTTTCACCTTTCTCTGTAGCTAACTAAATCTCAATAATACACTGTATATGTATCTGTTAGACATTGAGTAAGTGTAATCGTTATAAATATAGTATTAAGCGTAATCATTATAAATATATTTCACATACACAATAGTATCTATTTATTTTAATCAAACATATATTATCCACATTAAACTACACGTCGTTGATGTTTTACATGCAGATGTCAACGAATCAGGAATAGTGAGCGCCACTAATCGCATCGAAAGATGATATACTGTCATCTGGTAGAGTAAATACTAATTAATAGCTCTGGAACATTGTACATTTTTGAACTCTGAGCATCATTTCACCACCATGACTACCACACCACACTACATATTCAACATATTACGGATAGCACGGGGCATCACATGTTAGTCCACAGGGTTGACGACGCATTTGCAATCTGTAGCGGTTTGTAGGCCTTGAGATCGTAAAAGTCTATGGGCCATAGTTTACTTTCCATCAGGTTGACTGTACGCTATTGAGCCTTCTCCAAAAAGGTTTACGAAACAAATAAAATGTGATATTAAAGTTGGCTTGGTGCCCTGAAAACGTGTTAGAGTCATGCTGCAGCTATATTAGTTGTATAGTTGTAGCAAGAATGAGTCGACTCGACCGGGGACGGACCATGCTTTCACAGTATACCACTGTAAAATAGCAGCTTAACGACTCTGTGTTTCGTATATAGAACCGAGGACCCTTTTGACTGGGAAGAGGCATTTCATTTTAGTCCTCACAGCTAACAGCGCATCTGCATTTTGATTCGCAAACAAGGATAACTGTAGGTGTCTATGGTGCATAGCAACTACTAATGGACTGTGTGCTCGCTTGTTACCCTTATCCTATAAAAGAAAACGTATTCTATTGTTGGCCAACACTTGAGAGTCAGAAGTCTGTTAATGATCTGAGCTAATGACACTGTTCCTTGTAGCAAGCCAGGTAAGCCTGTTATTACAAAAGTACTTCCAATATCCTTAAAACTGCAATAAATAAAACAATATGGGTTTGGGGGTGTGTGGGGTAAAGAGGGAAGAAGGAAAAAGTTGTAAAGGGGAGGAAGGAAAAGGGAAAGGGGAGAAGGGAGGTTGGGGGGGGGTGGGGGGGGGGGGGCACAAAGAGTGGGGTGGGGGGGAAGGGGGGAAAAAAAGGGATGGTTGTGGGGGGGTGGGGGAGAGGGGTATGGGAAAGGGGGTGGTGGAAGGGGGGGTCCCTGTTAGTAGAAGTTCACAATTAGTAATTTTAATATAATGAATATTATATACAGGCTATCACAATAATGACGAATAATCTGGTAAGTACATGTGCGGTCGGGGGGAGGTGGACTCGTTTCCCTAAAAAAAATCTATCCCGAACGGTAGGCGCTCTACGCCATGTTTTATAAAATTTTGAAAATTCGTACTTCTGCTCACATTTGAGGACATCACGTCCGCAGTTTAATGCCTAGATCGGATTTTTTTCTGTTAATGTGTTCTCTAATAATGATGTTTCTAAATTACCCTTAAAAGTTTTCAACTACTAAGGGTGGTATTTTACAAGATGGCACTAAACATAAGTTTTAATTTTTTGCTTTATTTAACTGATAAGTTTGAGCACCTGTGGTAAAAAAAAATGTATAGAATCTGGGTGGTCAACCATTTAAAAAATTTGCCTACATCATGAGAATTCTAAAACAGTACTTAATGTCATTACTTACTGAGCTATAGACATTAATGTGTAAAAGTAGGCATTTCATTACAAAATTGTTTGCAGAAAGTTTTTTTAACATTTATTTATTTTTATTTATTTAACTTCATATACACATTAGATGTATATAGGCGGACTTAATGCCTGAGGCATTATCTACCAGTCTACCTTAAAGTAGTGCGGAGATAAAAGAGGTAGGTGTAATAAGAAGTATGTACAGCAATTAATATTCACATATATGTATAAACTCATACATATATAAGCGTATAAATATATACATATATAAACACTATGTAAGTATACATAAAATTAATTACATATATATACATATATATATATAATATATATATAATATATTATTATACATAATATATATATATATATATATATATATATACATATATATATATATATTAAATATAAAATTAAACACGCTGACTACGAACGCTAAGTTGATTCTGCCATTTTATTGACGAGCAGTTCTCGCACTTGAATTCGTCCAAACAAGGCGAGCAGATAGTAAATTGAAATTTTTAAGATCGACAGACGTACTTACCTAATAAATACATGCTCTTCCTTCCGAAATCAGGAGTGCCGAAAACCGGATTTCGTTCAAGTATAAGGCCGGGTTCAGACGAGTGTAACGTGTAATGTAATCCACCATGTAATGTAACACGAATTCTACGTGTGGACGGCACTACGAGCATTACATAAAACGCTCGCGCGGCGTTCGGGGTTTATCCATCGGCTGTCGGTTTTTCGCGCGAAAACAAAGGCACTTGCAGTGCTCGTTTGGACGGCGTTCGTGACGGTTGTGTCGTGTATACGTTCATGATGTGGAGTGACGAACAATCGCTTAAACTTATTAGTTTGTATCAAGAAAACCCTGTTATTTGGGATCCAAAAAACCCGCATTACTTTTTAAAAAATCTGAAAAACGATGCTTGGAGTGATATTGCTCATTCATTGGGAGGAGATGTGGAAGAATGCAAAAATAAAATGATTAGTTTGCTTGCTTCACATCGAAGAGAAAAAAGAAAAGTAAAGAAGACTCATAGTTCCAGAAAAGGTATGTTTTAATATAAATTTCTGTTGCTTTACATATTACATACTTTTATTTATTAATTTAGTTGTTACTTAGGTATTATCACTTACTTGCTATTAGTACAATTATTACTTCTATTGTATGATCTTCCGTCCTTGTCTTTTTTAAAACTGTTGTTTTATTTCTTGTAATTTATTTTACAGGTGGGGATGAAAACTACAAAAGTACATGGTTTGCCTACGAGGTGTTGGCATTTTTAAGAGATTGAAATAATCCAAGGAAACGACGCAACGCAGAGGTAACTACATTGAACTAGTTTCGTCATTATTCAATGGAAGTAAAGATGACATTTCAGTATCTCTCCGCCAACTACCTTCACATAATCTTCCGATTTGGTCACTCTCAAGTGATCCAGGGGGTGCATATAAGTTTTTAGATGAATCCGTGTTTCTCAAAAAATTATACAAATGTGCAATAGCCATGACTATAGTCTCCACGGTTTCGGGCTGAAGGAGCGTAGGTTTTCGTAAAACTCTGAACACAGATGCTGTGATACCAAATACATTTTCTACAATCCTGTGAGCTCTGCTTAACCGGTAATTAAAAATTCTTCGCGGCGATCCCTTGGGGTATTCTCCTGGATAGGGTTTCATTATATTGTTTTGTAAAGGGAAGGCAGAGTCTCCTACAAAAACATATGGTACTACTTTGTTTCTACCTTGCAGTGCTTCAGATGCAGGCAATCTTAACGAATTATTTTCTAGTTTTCTATATAATTCAGTTTCCTTAAAAATTCCACCACTGAAATTCGGCCTTGACATCCGACAACCAGAAATTTATAATTATATTCCGCGTCTACTAAAGCAAACATCACTATACTGAAATTCGATTTGTAGTTACGATATTCTGGGCCACTATGTAACGGAGCCTCAAGAATGACATGTTTACCGTCCATGGCTCCGGCACAATGGGGAAAATTCCACAATTCATCAAATCTGTTTGAGATCTGGATCCATTCTGAATCTGTTGTTGGCATCTGAAACAATGAATTTCTTTTTTATTACAGATTACAAATGAACCGGAACAGAGAGCATCTACAAGTGCAGAAAATGATAACAGTTCAGAATTTATATCACCAACTGGTCAGGCCCCAAAAAAAAAAAGAAATCAGACGAAAATAAAAAATGGGTATGCTTTCGGAGGCTCTTGGCCTGCTTAAGAGTGCTGCTTCTAATCCTACTCCTGAACCCCGAAACAATAATCTAAATAAAATTATTTGAAATTTGACAATGAACCCCTTTTCTTTTCAAATTTTATATGCAGCAAGATGCAACAATATAACAGAAGTACTAAAAATGCCGTGCAGCGAGCAATAATGGACATAATATTCAAAGCCGATGAAGGATGCAGTAACTTTTCTCAACATTATAATCCATCAGCGTTCAATTCTCAATTCAATTACAGTGGTTATACAACAGGCTCGGTTCCTTTATCAAGTTACTGCAATGAACCACCTTCTTTATCTAATCGCTCAGAACCATATACTTCAGGGTATTCAACAGGTCAGAATCAGACAAGTTACCCTACAGCTCCATATGCTTCACCTGTTCCCTCAGAATCATCCCAAACTTCATATGAAGATGTAGATTTTGTGAATGACCTGATTTGAAAAAAAATGTACTACATAGTTGCAAGATGCAGACTATGTCGACAATTTGATTTAACTTTCTAACTGTAATTTTGAAATAATTTTAATTTTGCTTACCCTACTTAATACAATACCTTAATTTGTTATTTTAATAAATAAATAAAAATATGTAAAACTCACCTTAATGTTTTCTTTCAATGCTTCTATAATTGCTTCACAAACTTCTGGTACAATACAATACATTTCCTGTTTTGAAATTCTGAATGTGCATTGAAGGCTTGTATATGAATATCCTGTTGTCAAAAATCTTAGTGTTAGAGCCAGTCTATCTTGCGGCGAAATTGCAGATCCCATTATAGTGTCTTGTCTTGATGTTTTAGGCGCAATGATTGTTAACAAATATTCGAAGTCAGTAGGCGACATCCGGGTAAAGTTTTTATATTGACCACTTATATGCTGAGATTTTGGTTCCACAAGTAAAGAAGATCTTCTTTTATACAATTTAGTTTTCCACCTTCGACGCTTTCGACGTTTCGGGTCTTCAGTTAGTAAATACATGAAAATAAAAGCCGCACCAGCTATCACGACCTTCCTATTCGGCATGTTCGTAGCAACTGAGTGGAAACATCTTTTGAAATAGTTTCGCGGACACAATTCGCTTTGAGTTCGTGTGCCGTCCACACTGTTGACGCTAAATTACAAGTAATCTTACATTACACGCACACTCGTCTGGACCCGGCCTAAGCTGTGTGAGTGAGACAAGCAGTGAAACTTGACATGTTCTATTATGTACAACTGTGAACATATGGTTTGTACTGTTTTCCATTTGTTAAGGATGCGAGAAAATGGAACAAGTTATATCCATTTTTTTATTTAAAATCATTTACAGAAAACGCTCCAACTGGCCTCCTCCTACCCTTATGCTGTAGAGTGCGGTACTTCGATATCTCGCATCGAAATAGACGGAACTTGTTCAACCATATCACGGACAATTTCTTCAATGTCAGGATCCTGGTATCGTCCTCTGCTACTGGCACCACCAATACCAGCACCTGGCATTCTCCCCTCTGAATAAATTCATGCACTCTAATAAGCACACGATATACAGGATGATGTTAATAACATAAACACGTAAGTATTGTATTATATTTAACTTGATGCAAATTTTTGTGTTAAAATATATTATAATAAAGCTCACAATATGTATTAAATAAATCAGGAAACATAATCTCAAAAATGATTTTGTAATTTTCCATTTTTATCGATAACTATTTACAAACCGGTATATCGAAACCATAGACTTAGGATAGAGTATATTCCAATTCTATGATATACAGATTAGAGATTCTAACTCTATGATCAAAACTATCACTCCGTGACAGCAACAACTTGGATAAAGACTCGAATCAGTCAGTCGACCGAACCGCATACCTTATTATATGAGTACGAGCGGCCTGTGTCGGTAAACAAATTTGAATCATCACGGCGTTTGGCTATGGCAACTAGGGACCGTTATTTGCCGTTATTCTTGTAAATTTTAAGATTTATAAGAAATGATAAGAAATAAAGAAAAGAAAATAAATAAATAAATAATACCATAGACTTTGAATATACTGGCGTATAGACGATATAATATAGAAGATACGACGATAAAGTTCTCAAATAGGTGATTATAATTACTGACTTAAGAAAGGTGATTCTTTGGTGTTTTTTGATAAAACCACCGTGATTTTTGCAAAATTTTACGTCACAAGACGAAAATTAATTTTGTTTTTACTTACAGCCACTACTTGTCGCGGATGACGTTTGTTGCATAATGGCGGGTGCTAGACTTATTATTAGTGTGAATGTGTGTAGATTGAACACGTAAGGGATCTGACTTATTTTGGGTGCTTCGCTGAGTTGTATAGCGAGATTCAATCTGACTTTTTTATATGTCCGTGTATGAAAGCAAATGCTTTTTTTTTTGAATGGCAGATTTCTTTTTGCAGCAAAAGTACTGAACTATCTTGCATTTTTGTAGGACGTCGGCTCAGTCATGCAAATAAATTTAGTCTAATAAGCAATGCGCTTGCAACTAGTTTCTTAAAAATTACCAGCCCTTGAATATAAACAATTATATTTCACAGAAAGTACAATAAATACGCATTACAAAAATATTCAAAACATTAACATCACATAAAGACTTAATAAAATATTAAACAAAATATCACAATATTACAAGTAACTTCAGGTAATTTCTTAGAGTTATAAATCTTATATGTCGAATATAAACTTTATGAAATACAATTTTTATTGCTTATTTTACATGTCTTAAACAATACAACAATTTAATTCACGAATTAAGGGGATGTAGTAACTCAGCTCAAATTATAATTTCGCCCCCACTTCCCCGCGCGTCGTATGCTAAGTATCAACATCAGAAATCAGAATTTTTATTATTTGCTTTAAACATGGTAGTGCAAAGATGTTAACATAGTGGTACGTCCTCATGTTTGACTTATAATTGTCATGCAAATTTAAAAGTAGTTACATTTTAGTCTACTTAGAGCTAAAAATAAGTTAATAGACTAAACAGACAACTAATGGTAAACATGAGTCACAGACATACGTTACATGTCATCATTTATAAATTGTATAATATTTTATGTCAAATTATTCAAGTCATAAAATAAAGTAAACACAGAAAAGCTACAAACACAATTAAAATTCAAAAACCTTTTGGTCATCTAAGTATTCCTGGACTGAATAAAAGCACCTAGTGAAAAGCCGGGAATGTAACGTTTAATGAACTTGACAATACTTTACAATACTTTTTTCGTACATAGAATGAACTGTGTATAGAAAAAACCCCATACAAACCGATATTGAAACGGTCAATCTCACCACCATCCTTCACAGTTAGCTACCGTGGGCAAATCTTTGTTACCGACGGCACGAGGTATCTGTGACAGAAAACACCTGCCTGCCGAGCTTCAGGATCTGCACAGCAACAAGCTTCGGATTCCGCGCCCACATTACTATGAACGAGTAAAGCCGGCCACAGTCGAGCGTGTACCTACTGTACTGCCATATGTCAGAGGAGTCACTGACAAGATTGGCTACATCTTGAAACGCGCTTCCATTAAAACATACTTTAACCCGCCGAAGAAGATTGGTCAGTTTTACCATCAGTCAAGTGTAATGTCCCTCTGCAAGATGCAGGAGTGTACAAGCTTGATTGTGAATGTGGTCTCTCCTACATATGACAAACTAAAGGATCAATTAAAACACGCATTAAAGAACATATAGCTGATGTGAAGAATCGACGCTCCGGGAAGTCTGCAGTCTGTGAACACGTACAGCATCACCCCCGTCACTACATCAGATTTGAGACAGTCCCTTCAGCGGTGCCAAGTTGACTGCCGGTATATCGAAGTGCTGAAGTGTTTGTACAGTAGGGCTACGATGGCTATCCGAGACAGACAGAATCAGAGCTCGAAACCTATTCAACTGCAGAGAGGTGTAAGACAGGGTGATGTGATATCCCCGAAACTCTTCACCGCTGCATTGGAAGACGTTTTCAAACTACTGTACTGGAAAGGATACGGTATTAAAATCAATGGTGAATACATTACTCACCTTCGATTTTCCGACGATATAGTCCTTATGGCAGAATCGCTGGAGGATCTTAGCACTATGCTCAATGACCTCAATGGTGTCTCCCAATGGATAGGTCTTAAGACGAACATGCACAAGACAAAGATCATGTTTAATGTCCATGTCTCACCTATGCCTGGTTGTTGTCGGAGCACTATGCTCGAAGTTGTTGACGAGTACGTTTACCTGGGACAAATAGTCCGACTAGGTAAGTCCAACTTCGACCGAGAGATCAATCGACGGATTCAACTCGGCTGGGCAGCGTTCGGGAAATTACGACACATCTTCTCGTCAGGTACACCTCAATCTCTGAAAAATAAAGTGTACAACCAGTGCGTGTTGCCAGTGATGACTTATGGATCAGAGACGTGGTCCTTCACTGCTGGCCGTATGAGGACGCTCAAGGTCGCTCAGCGAGCTATGGAGAGGGCTATGCTCGGAGTTTCTCTGCGTGATAGACTCAGAAATGAGGATATCCGCAGTAAAACCAGGGTGACCGACATAGCCCAACGGATTAGTAAGCAGAAGTGGCAATGGACCGGCCATATAGCTCGAAGAACCGATAACCGATGGGGAAGAAAGGTTCTCGAGTGGCAGCCTCGTACCAGTAGGCGTAGTGTAGGGCGACCCCCCACTAGATGTGAATGACGACCTGGTAAGACATGCAGAAAGTCGATGGATGCAGGTGGCTCAGGACCGTGCTTTGTGGCATTACTTGGGGGAGGCCTATGTTCAGCAGTGGACTTGTGAAGGGCTGTAATGATGATGATGATGAGGAGCTGCTGACGGGCCGACCTCCATGGTCGGCAGCTGACCCTCCGACGTTGCACCGCCAAATCGTCTCTGGTCCGTTTCCTGCTGGCGTTAAATTCGGGTACGGATACCCTCTGTGTTGTCCTGAGGTAAAATCGACATGATTTTAACCAACTTCTGACGCCAATGGTTACGAGCTTTGGGTTCGAGACAAAAAAAATCGTAGAGAATTACAAAATTGACACTTTAATTACAGAACACTTACAACTTAAAACCACACTAATAACACAACACAATTGTATAACTGACCACTTTAGTTCGCAGTTGTATCACTTCGAAGTATTCGATTGTAAGCCAATTCAATACTGAGCCGGGTCGCGGTCTATACCGGCCATATTTCTCAGGGCCTCAGATAATTCCAGAACCTTCTACTGTAGAAACATCCAGAATGTTCGAGTACATACCGGTCTGGACTGACTAGCTGTCGATAGTTGATGATATAGCTGCCTTAATCAATCTGGCCATTACGAAGTATGTAAAATATATTTTACGCATTGACATGTATGACGTATTAAACATTTTAAAGATAGTAAATAAAATATCAATATTTATAGGTAAACGTCTTAATT